CCCCGACGAGAGTGCGCCGTAGATGTCGAGCGGTGGCCGAGCTTTCACCGCAATTACGGAAAATTGCCCCCGCACTCATAACAGTCGTTTTTTAGGTGTTAAAGGCGACTTATCGGCAACGAGCGCAGCAGTAATCTCTTACAATGAGGCCGATCGCGAGAATTTCCAGTCGACCAGCGTGTACACGCTACTGCTGCGCTCTCCGGCTAGTAGAAAACCGCTTCTTGCGTCACATGGCGATTTTCACGCGGCGGCCTTTCCTCCGCGTTGTTTTTAGGCAGAAGGAAAAATTACAGACACGCGAGAGAGTAGCGACACTCCCGCGCGCTATCTTCAATTTCCAGGCGAACATGAAACGAAAACATCACTGTGGCGGACTGGTAAGAGTGGAAATCGTGACATCGCGGAGAAAAAATACTGGAATTCAACACGAGTGTAACATACACTGAGAAAGGGGGGGTCTTACAGAGGCGACCGTAAAAATATGAAACTAAAGTGACAATATTTCCGCAGTATTTCCGGAACAAACAGAATGCGTGGAAAAGCCTGGTCTTTGGAATTTCGCAAATAGGCGATCCCAACGGTGGATCGACGGTGGTAACGTTATGAGCCTCGTAACGTGGAAGCGTAGGATACACTCACCTTTTCGAGCTCGAGGAGGTGAAACCGGAGGACCTGAATCGCCTGAACCATCTGAAACAAGAAAAAAGAATTGAATAAAATGCATTCGACGGACGCGAAGGCTGAAAAAAGGCATCGGATGGTAGAAGCTGGTTCGGGCAGCGGAGGAGGTGGCGAAGGAAGGGCGGGGATCGCGGATGAAGAGGGAGGAGAGGGTAGAAGGAACATGAGGCGGACATGATTTAACCACGCGCCGCTGCTGCATCGTCTCGACAACTCTCGGCGCGGCTCGGCAACGGATCGTCGACAGTCACGGTTATCCGCTCGCGGATTCGGCGCCTTTTTATTGCCCGCGCGCTTCCCCATTTATCCCTTCCGGCAAATATCGCCGCCGAACGGCGATGGAGTGGCGCGACGGTTATTAACGGGAATTCATTATTATTGCATCTGCTAAATTCCGCTAATTGCGTATCTGAACTCGATCGCGCGGAATTCTCGCGGCGCACACAAACGACGACGACGACGACGACGACGACGACGACGACGACTACTCGATATCGCAGGTGAACGACCACGAAGAGAGACGTGGTGGAGAAACACATAGAGAAGGACAAGTTCGCATTAGTCGCTGTCATCGTCGTTGTCTTCGTTGATCGTCTTCTATACATCGATCGTGAGAGGAAGAAAGAGGGAGAGACGAAAAATCGTGGAGAACGCATGTAACCACTTACTTCGCCTTTCTTCTCTCCCGCGGGGGAGAATTTACCGCGACGCGCGTTCGATCGCGCGGACACGTGCAACGAACGTACAGACGCTCGAATAAACGCCGAGATGAAAGAAAGGCAGAGAAAAAAGGGAGAGAAAAAACGCTCAAGCGTCTCGATTGCGATAAGACTTTCGTCGGCTCGATAAGCAAGTCGGCTGCACTACTCGTTGCTGCCCGCGGCGCCACGTTGTGGGGCGACGATAGTTGTTTTTCGAGATGCGTCCGTGCGCTCGCGGTATCGAAGACGCGTCGCCGTCGTCGTCGTCCTTCTCCTCCTCGCTGGGACCATCGGTATAATTTTCCGATACCGCCATTAACGTTTAAGGCCACCCGAGGCCCTTCGTCGCAATCTCACCGCGAGGAGGAGGCCGTACGTTGCGGCGACGTTGTCCCCCGCCCTCGGGAGCGGCAAAAGCGGCGATTCAATTAGGCAAAGCGGCAATCTTAATTGTTAATTAACATTATATTTATGCAATTATGGCCCATTATGATTCTGCGCGGCCGATAACGAAGCGGCCGCGATGAGTGCTCCCTAAGATAGTGGACTCCTCTCTTTCTCTCTCTTTCTGTCGGAAGACTGCTGCTGTGCTTACTTGCTCCTGCCTCTCGCCTCGTAGCCGTCGTCGTGGTCCTTTCGCCACGGTGGGATACGCTCTCTTCGAAGCGAGAGGCAGGTATAACGCCCCGGCTTGTAGCCCGTCGGAGCACGAGCGACGAGCGAACGAGATATCACCTGGCCGAGGTGTATTTCGGTGAACGTATATATGCGCGCTGGATGGAACGCATTTACATTCCGAGCGAAATAAAATCGAAGACCACGGTCGCGCGGACCGATGCGAGGTCGTTCTCTCTTTTTTCTATCTTTCTCTCTCTCTCTCTCTCTCTATCTCTCTCAGCATGATCCGTCGTAAAATTACTAATTAAATGGAACTGTATATATATACATCTCCCTCTGCATGGGTGGACGGGGTGTCAGAGATATATGAGATATAAAGATCGAGAATAATGCCGGCAATACGCGAATATACAAGCGCGAGAATTTAACGTACGAGTGCTTGACTACGTTGCTGGATAATATCGAGAGTGAAGCACGGCGACAAACAACGCATAACGCAACCGATATCGAAAACAGTTTTGGCACACAGCGATATGTTACGATGAGGTGTCGTTCAATATGTTCAAATATCACAAGCACCCCCCACGGGCTCGGAAGTCGACTCGATGTGGCGGCCGGCACCGAAAATCACTTCGCGCAGACACGAGCGCGAAGAATCGAAATCGCCATTAGAACGAAACAATCGTTCGCATTGTGGAGGGAACCGTCGGCGTCGAAGAGGAATATGTATCGGGTCTTCGACACTTCAGGGCCCCTCCTCGTCGGCGAGCGAACAGCGAGGAAGAAGAGGGGGAGCAGATAAGAAGAGGAACAAGAACGCGATGGGGCAAGGAGAGAGAAAGAGAGATCGAGCGAGAAACGGAGAGAGAGAAAAAAGAGAGAGAAAGAGAGAGACCGAATGGGGGAGAAAAAGCGAAGATGGTATCGGTCCAGTAACGAACACACAACACAGAACACCCGGGTGCTCCCTCGCGAGATGGTGCGAGGAGACGATTCGCCACGACGTGTTTCGCGTCTCTCCTCCTCCCCTTTCACCTCCCTCCCCTTCTCCTTCTCCTCGACGTACACACAATGTGTTCTCTATATCCGACGGTTTTGTTGCTCCCCCGACCAATAACGACGTAGTTACCACGACCACGCAGCGCGAACTCTCGCGCATACCCGACGTTAATCGAGCCCTGTCGCGAGGGCGGCGAATCCCGGGAGGTCTCTCGTGTGCGTAGTACAAATATGTGCGAAAACAATCATAGAAATTATCTTCTTTTCTTTTCTTTCTTAGAAGAAGCAATGGTTACGTGAGTCTTTCGTTGAGAATTAAAAGTGCGTCGACAATTTGCTCTCGCGAGGAATACACCCGGTCGACCTCTCCCGGCGGCCCTTTGATTCCAATAATTATGCCCGAGACTTGTAATTCAAGCGAGGTACGCACAATGTCTCCACTATCCTGTCTCTCTCTTCTCCCCTCTAACTCTTTCTCGTGCAGTATCTAAGCGTCACACAACACCGTCGTACTCTCAACACAACATCGCGTTTGTCTGTATCTCTAAGTACCGCCGACGAGACTCTCCTCGGGATGTCTAGCCCGGACTACGTCTCACGTCACTCACTCGTTCGTTCGCTCACTCGCTCACGCATCTTCTCGCCGGCTTTCCTTCCTCCTCTTCTTCTCTCGCTTACTCTCTCCCCCCCTGTCTCTCTCTCTCTCTCTCTCTCTCTCTCTCTCTCTCTCTCTCTCTCTCTCTCTCTC